TGGTAAAGTACCTGAAGGACGACCCCTCGGTCATTGCTGAAAGTAAGACCATTGTTGAACTACGCGTTGCGTACGAGGCTTGGGCTCAAGGTGATTACATTTGTCGTAACTATGTCCTGAACGGACTTAGTAACGAGTTGTACAATGTGTACAGATCGGTTGGTTCTGCCAAAGAGCTTTGGTTTGCTTTGGAGAAAAAGTACAAGACTGAGGATGTCGGGGCGAAGAAATTCATCGTCGGCAAATTTCTTGACTTCAAGATGGTCTACTCTAAGACAGTCGTGTCTCAAGTGCAAGATTTCCAAATCATCTTGCACGATATTAATGCTGAAGGAATATCTCTAAGTGAGTCATTTCAAGTTGCGGCTGCGATCGAAAGTTTGTCATCGGGTTGGAAAGACTTCAAAAACTACCTCAAACATAAGAGGAAGGAAATGAGTCTAGAAGACCTAGTTGTTCGTCTTTATATTGAGGAGGACAACCGTAATTCATCGGGGAAAACCCCAATGATAGAGGCTCGTGCTAATTTGCTGGAGCAAGGCAACTCAAGCAAGAGGAAGTCCCTCAACAAGGGGAAGCAGTCTGCCAAGGTTTGGAAGTTTACCGGAACCTGCTACAATTGTGGAAAGATGAACCATATGGCTAAGAATTGCAAGAAGTCTAAGAAGGCTGGGCAAAAGAAGGCGCAACTGAAAGCCCTCGTTGCTGAACACGGTCATGTGTCGGGTGAACAGACCGACTTTGATATATCGATTGTGGTGTTTGAAGCCAATATGGTGGATAACCCAAGGGAGTGGTACATCGCTACTGGTGCCACTCGTCATGTGTGTTCCGACAATGAGTTGTTTTCTGAATACACTGTTTCTAATGGTCGGAAACTTCACATGTGAAACTCCTCCACGTCAGAAGTGGCTGGAGTTGGCACAGTGGTGGTAAAGCTAAATCCTGGAAACGAGTTGAGGTTGAAGGATGTTCTGCATGTCCCAGACATCCATAAGAATTTGGTCTCCGGATCTCTTCTTGTTGAGCATGGATTTAAGCTGGTGTTTGATGCTAAAAAATTTGTTCTTAGCAAGTTTGGAACATTCCTTAGTCGTGGCTATCTCGACAAGGTTTGTTCAAAATGAATGTAAGGGTCATGAGTTGTGTAACTGTTACTAATGAAAATGAAAATCCTATTTCTGTTTATACTGTTGAATGCGCTGATTTATGGCATATTAGATTAGAACATGTAAATCTAAATGTAATTAAACGGTTGATGAATTATAATTAATTCATAATTCTAAAATTGAATCACATAAAAAATATGAAATGTGTGTTGAAGCAACAATAGCTAAGCAGCATTTCCACTCGGTGAAAAGGAGTACTGAACCATTACACTTAATTCATATTGATGTATGTGATCTAAAAATTATGCAAAAAAGAACGGGTAAAAAGTACATTATAACTTTTATCGATGATTGCACAATGTTTTGCAACTTATATTTGTTAAGAAGCAAAGACGAGGTTGTGGAACCATTTAAAAATTATAAGACCAAAATTCAAAATTAACTCAGCAAAAGGATTAAAATAATCCGAAGTGATAGGGGTGGGGAGTATGTAGCTCCTTCTGAACAAATATGTTCTGAATATGGCATAATTCATCAAACAACGGCCCCCTATTCTCCACAGTCGAACGGAGTTGCAGAACGCAAGAACCGAACTTTAAAAGAAATGATAATTGTCATGTTTTAACAGCAAATCATAGTCTGAATAAAATACCACCTAAAAGAAAAAATAAGACTTCTTACGAAATGTGGAAAAATCGTAAGCCTTCTTATAAATACCTTAAAGTGTGGGGGTGTTTTGGTAAGGTTTCAGTTCTTGAACCCAAACAAATGAGAATCGGACCTAAGACGTTCGATTGTAGATTTATTGGATATGCGTACAATAGTACATCATATAGATTTCTGGTTCATAAATCAGAAAATCCAGCGGTATCTGTTGGTACTACAATTGAGTCGAGGAATGCTACATTCTTTGAGAATATTTTTCCTCTGAAAGAAAGAGCAGAATCTAGTTCTAATAAAATAACGTATAAAATTGCTAGCAATTCTATACCAGATGGTGCTGAAGAAAAAGATGAAGAACCGAGACGTAGTAAAAGGGTAAAAACGACAAAAACGGTTGGACCTGATTTTATTACGTACATCTTGGACGATGAACCAAGTTCCATTAAGGAAGCTCTGTCCAGCCCAGATTGACCACTCTGTGAAGAAGCTATAGATAGCGAAATCGAGTCCATTATGCAAAATAATACTTGGGAGTTGGTCGATCTCACTTAGGGTTGTAAACCTTTAGGATGCAAGTGGATCCTAAAAAGAAAATATAAAGTTGATGGAACGATTGATAAGTTTAAAGAACGATTGTTGGTCAAAGGCTTTAAACAAAAAGAAAGGTATGACTTCTTTGATTCATATTCACCAGTTACGCGTTCAGTTACGCGTTTAGCGTCGATAAGAGTGCTTCTCTTGATTGCTGCTTTGCACAATCTTAAGATTCACCAAATGGATGTCACGACGACATTTTTGAATGGTGAATTGGAAGAAGTTTACATGGAAAAACCCGAAGGGTTTGTAGCACCTGGACAAGAGGAAAAGGTGTGCAGATTGATCAAATCCTTATATGCAACGATACAAGTTCCGAAACAATGACATTTGAAATTTGATGACGTGATGTTGTCAAATGATTTCAAAATCAATGAATGTAACAAATGTGTTTATGTTAAGAGTACATCATATACATTTGTAATTGTATGTTTATATGTAGACGATATGTTGATCATGAGGAGTAGCCATGAAGTGATCATGGATACGAAAAGAATGTTGAAGAAAAATTTCGACATAAAAAATATGGGTTTTAGTTGATGTTATTCTTGGAATAAGGATTATCAGAACCCAAGATGAAATTGTCTTGTCATAATCTCACTACGTCGAGAAGGTGCTCAAGAAATTTAATGCATATGACGGTCCAATATGCACAACACCCTTTGATCTCAGCATAAATCTGGTAGCCTATAAAAGTCAACCAGTAGCTCAGTTGGAATATTCACGTATAATATGAAGTCTGATGTACCTGACGAACTGTACATGACCAGACTTGACCTATCTGGTGAGTAAGTTGAGTAGATTTTCGAGCAATCCTAGTCATGAGCACAAAAAAGCTCTAAAAAGGGTACTTAAGTATTTAAAGTACACCCTTGAATACGGGCTAAAATACTCGAGATACCAGATGTACTTGAAGGGTACTGTGATGCAAGCTAGATATCAGAGTCGAGAAATTCTCACTCCACGAGCGGATATGTTTTCTGTGTTAGAGGAGGTGCAATTTCGTGAAAATCCACAAAACAAACTTGTATAGCTCGATCGACCATGGAATCGGAGTTCATCGCTTTAGATAAAGTTGGTGAAGAAACTGAGTGGCTTCAAAACTTTTTATCTGGTATTTCATGTTGGATTAAGCATTTGTCGTCTGTGATGATTCACTGTGATAGCCAAGCTGCTATAGGAAGGGCGCAAAGCAACATGTATAACAGTAAGTCTAGACATATTCGTCGTAGACATAATACAGTTCGCCAATTGATCACAAATGGTATTATTTCCATTGACTACGTAAAGTCTAAGAAAAATTTGGCAGATCCTTCAATTAAAGGATTGAATAGAGATCAATTGGGAGTATTGCTCTTAAAAATCCACAATGAAAAGAATGATCATAGTGGTAACTCTACCTTGCTGAATGGAGATCCCATGAACTTTGTTCAATGGGAAAACTAAGCTATGAAAATTCAGCTGAGCACTTGGAACATAAGAATGTCCAAAGTTATTCCCTAGAGCACTCCAAGTGCACGATGACCTGTTGATTGTGGTAAGGGTAAGTCATTAAGACTTTTAATGAATCTCTAACCTTGCAAAGGTGGAGTAATACATGATACTCTTGATAGAAAGGTCACCTATATAAGTGTAAAGTGTGGGCCGCTTCAAATGTAAACACTTATGACTCCAAAGTGTTGTACATGGCCAAAACGGACACAACAATATAGAACTGGATGAAGTTAAGAGTCTATTGTGTAAATGTCATTGTCTTGGTGTACACCATGGAGGAATAGTTCTAGGCATTATGTCCACTAAGCCACCAGTACATCTGATGATGTTTACTAATAAATGTTCAAAGCCACAAGCTACCTTTTTTGATGTAATATAGTCTTGTGACAATTGAGCAAAAGAGTCTGAATATATTTAATTTACACTCATGTGAAGGATTATTAATTATTATCAATAATTTTCACTAACTGAATTTGATTATCAATTATTGAACATTATTATCAATTACTGAGTGTAAATTGTTTAAATATTATCACTTTCATTATTATCAATAATTGATTAATTAGTTATCAATTATTGCGTATTATTATCAATTATTGTGTATTACTATTAATTATTGGTTGTAAATTGATAATTGCTTCAATAATGCACTTTCATCTTCTCTATAAATACATGTTCATTTGGAGAAAAAAAATATAAAGTAAAATAGAGAAAAATAAACAAGAAAAAATTGCAAGAAAAAAAATAGAAGAAGAAAATCGAGAATAATATAATTCATTACAATTTTTAACTGTTCAATTTTTGACTCCGTTCTAGTTCGTCGGAGCTCGTAAATTTGGTGTGCTACAGATTCCGAGACGATCGCCATTGTATCTTTGGGGACGATACGCCTGAACCGTCAGCACTACACGGGCGTATTCGTCTTGCAGAAAGAGTTTACTCGTCTCGGCTAAAATCTTTCTTTTTTTTCAAGCTGTAATTTATTTCCGGTCATATTGTAATTTTCTAATTTTTAGTTCTATTGCAAGAACTAAAAAATTCACTTCTGTTCGTAGGATTCCATGTAATTTTACAACAATTTTCTGACAGTTGGACTATCAACTGTATATATAGCTTGTGAAACCAAGCCCAACCAAGTACCTGGATTTTAGAGGTCAGCCGATTAGTGCTTTTGTTGAAGTCAAGAACGGATAACTTGGCACCGGGTTTCAAAACCCGAACCATCTCCTCGAGAGCCTTTTTCCTATCCACCACATTTCTCAACCCATAGCTGATGGTGGCAGCATCAAAACTCGAGTCGGGGAACGGTAAAGCAACTGCATCTCCATGAATCCACCTACAAATTAACCGTTTCGATCAAATCGAACGATAATAAGTACATAATTACTTAAAAACAAAAAAAAAAATTAATACCAAATAAGATCATTAATTAGAATAGCTCACTCGATGTTTTCGTAGCACGGTTTCGACTTGGACCACTCGTGCTGGCGAGATGCCGCAATCTCTAATAGCTCCTTTGAGAAATCCAGAGCAATGACCTACAAAGAAGAAGAAAAAAGTTGAAAAAAAAAAAAGAAGAAGAAGAAGAAGAAGACTGATTGAACGTCAAATGATGTAAGCCGTCGAACCTTGCCGTCGATCCCGACTTTGAGGGACAACAGAAAACTCAAATCCCCACTGCCACAACACACGTCCAGCACCTTGTCTCCTTCTTTTGCCCTGTTACTTATTTCTTGAAATAACTTGTTATTGTGTATATTTGTGTATTTACCGTATTAGCCTTAGGTTATTTGTAGCCCTAATTTTATGTATATAATCTTAGTTTAGTGAGAGTTGTATCATTCCGATTGTGATGATCATTTACCCAAATTCTTCTTGTCTCCTTCGAACATGATACCTTTTTCCAACTACAACGTATACATACAATAGGGAGAGTCTACGGTCCGTCGTGGTTTGTAACTGTTATATCAACTATCTACGACGGTTACAACAGTTATATGATGATCTAACGGTTAAAAATCCGGATAGAATAGTCCCGTAACGAGACTGTAGCATTTCCCTATACAACAATAGGTAAAACAGAATGAAAAATACTCACCCGCTCCATGCAATAGACCACTTTTTCCACAATCTATGCAATCCCAAGCTAAACAAGTCATTCAGCTGATTTGAAATCAAGAAAACAATAAAAAACAAAAAACAAATAAAATCATAGTTGCAAGCAAAAGCCAATTTGATTTATATGTAATTCGTAATAGATACAATAATGAGGCCATTAGCCATATATGTTTGTTTAGAAAATAGAACAAGAATTATGAGAAAGAAGTGCGTACTTTATCATAGACAGGTGCTATGCGGTTAAAAAGCTCCTGGCGCTCGGCTGCACTTTCATGGCTCGGCGGCTGTGGCTCAGATCGGCGTCTAAGTGTGGCCATATGTATCAAATTTGTGATGAAAATACTAAAGAGAGCTGAGGGAATTGAAAGACTAAATAAAGAGAGTGGCTCTTGATTAATTAATGGAGAAGTAATATTGCACCAAGTTCCAATGTTTCAAAAATTCAAGTCAACTGTGAGTGGCCTTTAATTTATTACTCCATAATTCTAGATCAGACTGACTGTTTAAATGGCAACTTGTAGCGCGGAAATCCACAAAGTTGCGATTTTCCATATTACATTGTAGGATAATGTTCCCTACCTATAATGAGCACATGTTAATATGTTTACCGTTTATGTTGTTTACACACATTGGTGATGTTAATATGTTCAAATAACTACATCACCAATAGTGAATGCCACATAAGCGGTGGGCAAATTAACATGTGTCAACCGTGGGTAGGTAAGCATTACTGGTATGCTTGTAAATAAGTCATAATTTCTAAGGTTTAAATTATGTTTATATATTTTTATGTGGCACATAAAGAGATTCTCGATCGGCTTGGTTCGACCTGACTTGTCTTTCTCGTCGGTAGATGACCTTGGACACCTACAAAAACTCGACACTAGAGGGTTTTTCTGATGAATAATCTCTGATGGTTAAGCTAGAGATATGCGGAAGATGATAAACAATATGTAAGTATGTAGAGAGTGTATTAATGGGCATACCTCACCTTCTTTTATAGGGAGATATTACCTTGTTGCACGAGTGAGCTGTCCGGACTGCCGGAATAGTCTGTCTGTACTGCCCAATTCTGTTAGGCCATATGGCCATATCCACGTGTTGTCCTTATCTTGTTAATATTTCTTCTTATTCATTAGTCTGTCTAATTAGACTGCCTAATCATACGACTCATCTGATCACCTCGAGGTAGAATGCTGCGTAAGTTGAGCTTGTGTATTGTCTTTCAGGTCGGCTGTCTGAGAGCCCTAATTCGACTTGTCGGTGTCTCTTTGAACCCGTGATATCCTCCTCGACCTTAGGACTCCTTGTTATGTAACAATGTTCGACCTCCATTCGGCCTACCCGTGCTTCTATTCGACCAACCAGTTCGCCCAGCCTTGTCAACTAGCTTATCGGGTTTGTCCTACCTGTTGTGGTATCTCATATCATATAGTACACCCCCCTCCCGAACTCCGGTCGAGTTAAGATAACTCGATCTGAGTGTATATTTCTGCTTTTGGCGTTGCTTGATGAGCTCTCATTTTTTAACCTGGTTGGTCGAGCTTCCTTCAATTCTACAACAATATATTCGACCTTCTCTTGTGTCGTGAATTCAAATTTTAAAATTGAAATCTCAGCCTCTTGTCAGATTCAATCAATTCAATTAATCACAACATTGTCGATGTCATTACTCTGTAATTCACGTTGTCCTCGTACAACGTACCCATTAAATGCTTCCTACCCATTAAATGCTGTTATTCTATTTTCCAGAATCAGGTTGAGCTGCATCTTAGGTTTCTCATTTGCCAACCCCTTCTCGACTTATTCGCCATTTTCGGCCTTCCACTCAACCAGCTTCCCCCTAATTCTAATGCGAACGCGCAGTTTTAATCACTTCAGTGAAAACCCGATAATGGAGGTCGTGGAATTTTAAGTTTATTTAGTTCCATAATTACTTAGTAATTAATTAAGAGAATTTCTTAAGCATGTTAATTTTTCTTGCACATAAATCAACAAATTAATTAGGCACATGCAAAATTAAAGGCGATAATAAAATAAGAAATTAATTCAATTATAATGGTCAACAAATTTCAATCTTAATTGGAAACAAGCAATCTTTGTCCTTGTAGAACTGCATGTTTCTTAATTTGAGACTTGGAGTTTCCTTTTCATCGTGACTCCCACTTCCTTCTTGGACAAGCATCCCGATACGGAACGCCGTGTTCGTTGAAGATGTCGTTGCCAGGAAAAGCTCGCCCACCAGGTCAGTCGCTGTTGTTGTCGCTGTCTATCATCATCGTGAGTGGCGAAGTTTCTGGGTATCGCAACCGCGTCGCCTGAGGACTTGGTCAAGTACGCTAGCGCACGCGCATGAGGCACGCACAACCGTGACCATCTTTAAGAGTCGTTGTGCCACAGTCGTGTCCACCTTGTCAACTTTCTTGAGTAAGGCACGCACGGCCGAAGCTCGTGCTGCCGTCGTTGGAGCTACCACGTGCGTCAAGCCACCAGGCAGTGGCCACATGCACGGCGCACGAGTTACTCTGAAAAACTGCACGCCCAGCGCCACTCGCGTACAGCTCCACACCAAAAATTATTGCTTCTTGTTTCAAATGCAGATTTGACTTCATTTTGTGAAGAAACTCGTTCTCCATAGAACCAGAGAAAGAGCACTAGCTGGGGATAGGACACCTTGGAGGACCTAAGGCAGAAACCCACAACACAAAACCAGAAAAACCAGACGCAGACGAAGGGAAAAGAAAGGTGAAAAGGACATACAAAGGGAAAGGAGAGAAAAGTACTTTCAATTACCAAGTGATCAAGCCCAAGAGGAAGCGAATAATACCTACCTACCGAAGGAGAAGAAATCAATGTAGGTTGAAAAACCTTGGAATTTGAGTAGTTGTATTTGAGCTCTTACCATTGCTTTATAATATAAAGATCTTTTCAGTGTCAATCAAACTTATGTGAATTTTCTCCACAAATATATGTCGATTACGATGAGTCGGTGTTGGTCCATTATTTTTGTCTTTCGAAGAGAATTGCCTGTAAACATTACCGCCGCACTGTAAACTGTTTACTGCAAAATGTAACACACACGAACTAGAAAAACAGGCCTAATTTAACGACTTTGAGCTTTACTATATTTTTCCCAGAGTGCTTCCATAAATATTACAAGCATATAGCTAGCATGGACAACTAGTTTGACGACAGAAGCTCAATCAATCTAAATACCTTATCTTGGACAAAAGGCTTTCCTTTCTTTTTTACAAGTGAAATACATCAAGACACAATGAACTATCGACATTGTTTGCCAAAGCAAGCCATCCTTTTTTTATTTTTCTTTTCCCCCAAGCTCGACATAATAAACATAGACAACCTAACAATGCCGAAAGGAGGAAAAGAAAAAGAAAAAAAAAACGAATGCTACCTCGGACCCGAGAGTTCCATAGCTTCAACCACAAGGGACGAGTCCTCTATATAATCGACATATCTTTGAGAAGAATCTTCAGCCGAACGGTATCTCTGAGGATCGACATTTTGCATCTGCTCCCATTTTTCACACAAGCCGTCGCCTTCGAGCATTCTTAAAACTTGCGACATTTTAGGTCGATGAGAAGGGTTGAACTGAGTGCAAAGGAGTGCCACTTGGACCATTTCTTCTAATTCGATCCTGTCGTAGTCGCACCTTAGGTCCTTGTCCACCATGAGGTTTAGCTTCCCTTCTTGATGGAGCTTCTTCACCTGAACAGAGGTTGGCATAATAAAGAGTAGCATCATTACATTTGCTGTAACAAAATGCTACTTTTCATGATTTTATATAAGGGGTAAAAAATAAAACCATAGTTCAAAATAAAATAAAAAAAAAGCCATATTTGGTATCAAATAAAGTAAAAAAAGAAAGCAACATACCCAGTCGAGCATGACCCCTTTGTGGGTGCTCCCCCGGCCAAAGTCGACTGCCTTTTGGCCGGTGATGAGCTCGAGCAACAAGATACCAAAACCAAACACATCAGTCTTTTCAGAGGACTGGCCAGTGGAGAGGTACTCGGGAGCAATGTGGCCGACGGTGCCTCTCACTGCAGTGGTGACGTGGGACTCGTGGTGATCGAGCAGCTTCGCAAGCCCAAAGTCCCCAACTACTGCCTCAAAGTCCTCATCCAATAGGATATTTGCTGCCTTTACATCCCGGTGAATGATCTTCGGGTCACACTGCTCATGCAGGTAAACGAGCCCCCGGGCAGTGCCCACTGCTATCCTCTTGCGCCGTGCCCAATTCAGCACCGCCCGTCCATGGATCTGATCTGTACAGTACATGTAGACATCGAAATTTTAATATTTTATTAATTAGTGTCTTTATTTATTTTTTGACATAAATAAATCCAAGATAATAAGATATTTAATTTAATAAAGTAAACGTTTTAAGTTTTATAAAATTTATTGTTACAAATTTGGCACGCCCCAGTGGGCTCGTCGAAGTAAAATTTATTGTTACAGTGCAGTAGATTTTCTTTCTCTTCATTCTTTTTTTAAAAAGCTAAAAAAAATAAATAAATAAAAATAAAAATAAAAAAATTCCCACCTTTCAGTCGAGAAGCCACACTGCCATTAGACATGTAAGGATAAATAAGGAGCCTCTCATTCTCAGTCGAGCAGAACCCCCAGAGCTTGAGTAGATTCCTGTGGACAGCCAAGCTGATGAGCTCGACTTCAGTCTGGAACTGGATTTCGCCACCCGCAGCATTGTAGTCTTTCAAGCGTTTAACCGCCACTAAAGTCCCGTTGTTCAAACGGCCTTTGTACACGACTCCGAATCCTCCCTTCCCCAATATGTTCTTCGAGTTGAAATGATCAGTTGCCACTCGGAGTTCCTTAAAGCTGTACCTTCTTAAGTGACCTAAGCGTACCTCGGGATCATATTGCTCTGCCAAAATCAAATGCCATTTTTCATAATGCAAAAAAAAAAAAAAAAAAA